GAGGATATGCTGAGATCTTGAGTGTTATAGTTTGGTGATTCTTGGCATGATCGCCTAGACTTGATGGAATTTGCCTACAATAATAGTTTTCATTCGAGCATTGGTATGCCACCATTTGAGGCACTTTATGGTAGAGCTTGTCGTACGCCATTGTGTTGGTCAAATGTTGGCAAAAGAGTGCTAGAGGGCCCAGAGATTGTGGATGAGACTACTCAAAATGTTCAGGTGATTAAGTCTAACCTGAAAGCGGCCCAGGATCGATAGAAGAGTTTAGCAGATAAACATGCCACTGATCGAGTATATGATGTGGGTAATTTAGTATTCTTGAAATTGTCACCTTGGAGAGGTGTAGTGCAGTTTGGAAAGAAAGGCAAGCTAAGTCCTAGGTATATAGGACCTTATGAGATCACTGAAAGGATTGGTGAAGTTGCTTACAGATTGGAGTTGCCTTCAGAGTTATCTAAGGTGCATAATGTGTTTCATGTCTCGATGCTTCGACATTATGTTTCAGATCCTTCACATGTGATTCCTCCTCAACCTTTGGAGATTAATCCGGATTTGACGTATGATGAGGAACCAGTGACTATCTTGGATTGGAAAGACAAGGTTCTAAGGAATAAGACAGTGAGCTTGGTAAAAGTATTGTGGATGAACCACTCAATAGAAGAAGCTACTTGGGAGACAGAAGATCGAATGAGAGAGATGTATCCAAGGTTGTTTTATGAGTATTAGTGGATTGAGTGTTGTATGAATTTCGAGGACGAAATTCTATAAGGAGGGTAGATTGTCACAGCCCGTCCTGAAATTTCATTTATCGTGGATGTGAAATGACGGAATTGCCCTTAAAGGTTGCTATGGTATGTGTGACATGTTTATTCGAATATTGCATACTCTCCTAAGTTCTTGGAAAATAAAGTAAGTGGATTAAAATTGTATACATTTTTGTGTGGTTATGGACTTAAACAAAATTGGATTGTGGTTTGTTATGGGTGGACCACACACACACGGGACACATACCCTCACCCCGTGCCCTCTCTCTCATCTCTCTCAGTTCACTCTCTCTCTCTCCCTTTCGAACTTGTACTGACAAGAGCAAAACCCCTCAAAAATTCACAGATCGACGTCAAAAAGGTGAGTTCCTTCATCCTTGTAACCTCCTGAATCGATTGGTATTATTTTTAGAACTGGAAACCCTCGAAATCACGTTGAAATCGTAACCCAGTTTGATGTCACAGTTCATGCACACATGAAATGTTAGTTTTCAGGGAATTCTAAGCCTATAGGGAGCTTAGTGAGGTCTCAAGGAAGCTCGGAGTACTTAGTTTGAAGGTTTTGGAAGTCGGGATCGCAGGGTTCGAAGTTGGCCGGTTTTCTTAGATTTTCTCCGGTGAGATTTCATGTGTTTTTTAGCCTTAAATTAGTACATCGTGATTCTTCATGTTTAAGGCTTCATTTTGGTGAAAATTTCGTGAAAAATGGTGCAAAATCAAGCGAGAAAAGGGCGATTGCAGGTCTGCCCAGTTTTCCGGTATCGGCGAGATTTTCTGGCGTCTGGAGGTAGGGGATGACACACGTGGGGGCGCGTAGGTCAGTGCCTCTCCCGGCGCGTGGGGGCACGTGCGGCATTGAAATTTTTTTCTAAAAATACCTCAACGTCCGTGACGTCGAGTAGGTCATTGTGGTATATTCATATACCTAAATTGAGTATCGTATGAGAAGTTATAACGTATTGTTGGTTGTGTGCTTTAAAATAACGTTTTTATAGTTATTTCATATAGGTGAGACCTATCTCCAGGACGAGTGCGTTCAAGGACGTCACGAGGTTACGAGCCTTCGACATACCAGTGAGTGGGCAGCTATTTTCTGTTTATACCTATATACTACTGATTTTTCCCTGAAATTGAATTTAAATGGAAGTATGTTTTAAAATGCCATGCATACATAATATATGAATTATATGAATTAGTATGTGAAATGGTGTTGTGGACGCACAGGTGAGTATCAGGTGAGTTTTATGTGTTCATGTGACTTATTAATGATATGAATTGTGTTGAGAGCTCATAACCTGCACCCCTGGTGTTAGTGCTTATGTTATTCACCCCGCACCATACGCTCACCTTGGATCCAAGTAGGTGCATGTCGAACAGACCATTAGAGGTGGTTCCGACTTGTAGGTGCCTTTAGATTATTATACAGTTGTTGATGAGAGAAGCACTAGAGCGTATTCTTACACCATTCTTGTCGTACAGACTACTTCTGGTAGTTCCGATTTATGTGCAGAGTAGTGCCGTACAGGTCATAATGGTGACTCCGGTTGGGTTGGATATTGAGCTATAGAATTAACCGTACAAGACAGCTGCAAGGTCTCTAGTTGATTCCTCATTTCACTTGTTATATTGATGCATCCTTATCATGTTTGAAGCATAGCATGGCATATTTCTTGAAAAGTGTTAAAGACTTGTGATTTGAGTTTTGCTGTTATATATGGTTATTATATATGGTTATATATATAGTATTTTTCTGGGAAAGTATACAGGTTTTACAGTGAGGGATTAAAAGTGTTGTTAAATGAAATATTTTCAAAAAGCGTTGTTTTACTAACCCACTTAATCTTGTTTTGCGCCCCAGGTTCTGGTTAGCAGTGTTGGTGGCCCATGAGGATTCCCACGGTGTACTGATAGACTACTTAAATGTAGGACTCACCTTCGGGTGTTGTAATTTAGTAATGATCCTACTTGACTGTACTTAGTACTTATGCTCTGAATATGTGTGTTTCACACTTAAACTCACTCTAGCATGTTAGTTGGATATTATTGCTAGTAGTTGGTTTTTATTCCTTTGTATTTCTTTTATTTTTTTATTCCGCATCGCACTTTTGGTTACGTCATGCCCACGTGACGGCCAGCACACCTTGATTCTAGGATCGGGGTGTGTCAGTTATAACTGATAGGAGTGCTTAAGAATAAAATTCAAATGCAACGGCTAGCTGACGTTAGCTAGCTGTTGCATTTGAATTTTTTTTTTTACATTTTGATTATTATTTTTTATTTACAAAATTTTTCCTATAACTTCTATTTTTCATAGTTTTGTTTTAAATTCTATTTTTTTTCCTATAACTTTTATTTTACAAAATTTGTTTCATATTTTTTTTTAAATTCTATTTTTTCCTATAACTTCTATTTCACAAATTTGTTTTATTTTATTTTAAATTCTATTTTTTTCCCATAACTTCTATTTCACAAAATTTGTTTCATATTTTTTTTAAATTATATTTTTTTCCTATAACATATTTTTAAATTATATTTTTTTTCTATAACTTCTATTTTACAAAATTTGTTTCATATTTTTAAATTATATTTTTTTCCTATAACTTCTATTTTACAAAATTTGTTTCATATTTTTTTTTAAATTACTTGAACTTCTTCATCAGACTCCTCATCTTCTCGTCTCATTTGCTCCCATTTTGCTTCTCTTTTAGAATATGAGGACCCCCAGTTGGAATTCATTGCAAACTAGAATTGAAAGAGATTGAATCGAAATAGATTGAATTCAAAGTTGTGTGAATTATAGCCCAATATCCACCCTATTTATAGCAAAAAAAATATAAATTCAAATCTAACGACTAGCTGACATCACCATGATGTCAGCTACCAACGGCTAGCTGACGTCACTTAGCCGTTGGATTTGAATTTAAGTTGTTGTAGTTTTTAAATTCAAGTTAATGTTGTTTTTAAATTTAATTTGTAGTTTTTAAATTTAATTTGTAGTTTTTAAATTTAATTCATCATTTTTAAATTTAAGTTGTAGTTTTTAAATATAATTTGTAGTTTTTGAATTTAAGTTGTTGTAGTTTTTAAATTTAAATAATAAATTATGTTTGGCCATTTGGCCCTTGGTTGGAGACGGTGTTTTGTGACAGGACTAAAACGAGCCCTATAGCCCTTTGACCCTTTGGCCCTCGCTTAGAGATGGAGGCAAATATGACAATGTACTGTTCATTAAAATATTAATATCTTGGAGGGCCAGAGGGCTAAAACGAGCCATCTGGCCAGCCATCAGTTGGAGATGGCCTGAGCTCACTCCTCCTAACTCCTCAGGAAACAAATTAAACTTCCCACCTCCCAACTCCCACCCACTTTCCCTCCACCCTCGATTCATATATATATATATATATATATATATATATATATATATATATATATATATATATCTCTCTCTCTCTCTCTCTCTCTCAAAATAGAGCACAACCCAAACACAACCCCACTTTCACAGAGCAGTAGCCGAAGAAGTGAACCAACACCGATTCCAACTCACCCGAGTTCGGGTTTTGGAGAAACCGCTCTTGCCGTCAGCTAAATAGAAACTCTTAAATGGGTGATAGTGCCATTCAACTAGGTCTAGTAGCAAGTTGAGGTCCACATAAGTTTTCTCCTTCTTCTCCTTTTTTTTTTTTTTTTTTTTTTTTTGTATTCAACAATTAATCAAAGCATGTCATACTTATTATGGCAAAATCTCAATATCCAACATGCTTAAAATAACAACAAAGTATCCATGATCAAAATTATGAGAAATTATTAAATGTACCTATATAAAAACACCTCTTTACTTTTAAATTGTTTGTTAAATTTTTATATTATTGAAATTAAAGGTTTCATTTGTATTACATTTATCGATTTTGAAATTGAGGGACAAAAATAAAGATAAGCCGATTTCAATGATCATTTGTTATAAAATCCCGAAATAGAATGCAGCTATACTATGACAATTTATTTTGTATCATATATAGATACATGAATTAGGCACGCCAAGTTACGGTACTTGTTTTAAACTTATCACATGTCGGCTTGTGTTTTGACGTTCCCCCACGGCACTTGATAGGGTTTTATGTCTAGTAATAAAAGAACCAGTCTGCGTGCTCATCTTTATGACTATCTATTCTAGATCAAAGTATAATTTTGAGCATCTCAGAATAAAAAGAGCATAACTTTTGAGCAGATGCTTTAACTAAGAACACATACAGGTAGACCCTTAAAGAGAAAATATGGGCCCTTTCTTCATCGCAAAGTGTTCACATGAGAAATGAAGAAAGACCAAAAAGCAACCAATCCCTCACTCTCACTCTCTCAAACCATCACCACCAAACCACAAAACAAAAACAATACAAAAGGAAAGTGATACCAAATCGACAAAAAAAAGCAAGGGAAAAAAATGGTCATGAACAACCTTCACTTACACTACTCTACACAGAAAACAATCTTAGCCCAGAGAATAATAACCTCCTCTATTTTCTTTCTCTTTTCTACTCTAATCACTATCCATGGCTACCCAATCAAATCCCGCATCTTCATCTATGCAGGCTGCTCCCAAGAAAAATACCAACCAAACTCACCCTTTGAAGCCAACCTCAACTCTTTTCTATCATCAGTCGTCAGCTCATCCTCTCAAGTCTCTTACAACAATTTTGCAGTCGGAAATGGAAGCTCAACACCAGAAGGATCCATCTACGGTTTGTACCAGTGCCGAGGTGACTTAAAGATTTTCGACTGCTCAAAATGCATCGTAAGCGCAGTGAATCAAATCACTTTGGTATGTCCCTACTCGTATGGGGCTTCCCTGCAGTTAGACGGATGCCTTATAAGATATGAGCATGTTGATTTCTTGGGCAAGCTTGATACAAGCCTAAGGTATAGAAAATGCAGTAAAAGTGGTGGGACAGATGATGTTGAATTCTTTCGGCGAAGGGATGATGTGCTTGCTGACTTGCAAGGAGCAAATGGTTTTAGAGTTAGTAGCTCTGGTTTGGTTGAAGGGTTTGCTCAGTGTTTGGGCGATCTGACCCAAAACGACTGCTCTTCTTGCATTGCTGATGCTGTTGGAAAGTTGAAGAGTTTATGTGGATCAGCAGCAGCTGTGGATGTGTTCTTGGCTCAGTGTTATGCTCGGTATTGGGCTTCTGGCTACTATAAAGCCTCAGGTACAATTATACTCATCTTCTCTATAGTGGCAGCATTGAAAGCAAAACCATGATAAAATCAGATTAAGATTGTCCTTTGGATCATAAATTAAGAATGATGTAATAGAGAATAGGAAATTATCTAGGCTTTTTAGCCAAAATGGTCCCTAAGATTGGCATAACTTCTCACTTTGGTCTTTGACATTGAAAATCGATAGAAGTTATCCATATGTTTGTCCACTATCAATCATTTTGATCATTCGGTAGAAAATCTTTGTTAATGGGAAAAAGCAAGTTAATGAGTTGAATGGACAAAAATACCCTCAATATAAAAGAAATTTTTCATAGAAGGACAAAAATGATTGACGGTGGACAAACGGGGACCAATTGTACCGATTTTCAATGTTAAGGACTAAATTAATTGTTATGCTAATCTCAGAGATCATTTTGGCTAACTTCATTTGTTAGATAAGTTTTTGAAATTAAGATAGTTCAATTATTAGGGCCAAAATGTTATATAATTAAAATAACATGTTGACCACTTTAATTATTGAAAGCAAAACAGGAAAAATTTATCAAACCAAGGTCAATAAAGTAAAAGGCCAAAGCACTAAAGGGGTGGTACGTAGTAGTAGTTTCTTTGATCATTTTCTGATTTGCTTCAACAATTTGCTAGCCTTATAGTTGATTATAAGCTTTGATGTACTGATCAAAATGTGTTGCTCTATTCTTTTAAGTAACAAAGAAGGAAAAGTCCACATATTCCACACTCACTGATTTCTAGATATATATACATATATCCCCGTGTATTAAGTTTATTAGTGAATCCCTTAAAGCTACATTTTGTTGAGAAGGAGTGCTTCAAAAATGTTATTTAGACTGTCTTAAAATAAGATTATGTGTGACTTAATGACATGTGTATTATTCATTTTGTGTTATCATGAATGCACTCAGGTCGGAACATTATATAAGGTAAAATTAGGTGTTAATATGTTCCGCTCAAATTGCTTTTAAGAGAGGCTGAGTAGCAATTCTCGAGATAGAAATTACGGATTTATTAAGGAAAAAGAGAGTATTGAAAAGTTGTAATCACTCTTGTACATGCGATGGTGGCAGCTTTTGCTTATCTTCAATCAAATGTTTACGTATTATGGATAAATACTACTATTCCTCTCACTTTTTCTTTTCATGTTTGTATAGATTTCTCTAACGAAGACAATGCGGGAAAGACAGTGGCCATTATTGTTGGGGCAGTAGCAGGTTTAGCTATTCTAATTGTTCTTCTCTCAATTTGCAGGAAAACGATGGGTAAATAAAATACAAATATTTTCCCTCCACTTTAGTAGTTAATTGTGTGTGTATATATTATCATTAATCAATCATTGATTATGGGAATTAATCATGCTTACAGGTTAATTAAGCGGATGGAGAGATCTCTCTGGTACTTAGAAGATATGGAGAATGCATAATCATTGTGATGGAAGACCACAAATTGGTGTTGGCTTTAATATTCTTGTGAAAGCTCTATGCCCTCAGTTTTTTTTCTCTTCTAATACGAAACAGTATTCTTCAAAAGAAGGTGGTGTTATCCTATAGCATAAAGTAGCTAGCACTCAAATTTCCATCAACTTTGAAAGGGCTGCTGATTCTGTCTAGCTTCATGCTGTCCAACAAAAACCCACATCACTTTATTTTAGGTATTTAAGCAACTTTTCTTTTTGTAAACGGCAAACCCATCATCTCTTTGCTTTTTCTTTTGGTGGCCGAAGTTCTCTAAAATGTGTGTCTTCGTGTGTACTTTTCTTTTTCCTTTTATAGTTTTTGACTAACCTCACCGTCATGGGAACTTTCAATTAATAATCGAACTCGAAGTATAATTTCTTTTTTGAAGAACAATTCATTAAAAAGAGAAACTATGAATACAACTGTTTCCATAACTATAAGTGTAAGAACAGAAGAGGCAAAACTTGGGGTACAATAATCCCAAATATAACAATCCGAGATCAAGAGACCCTAACGGGCAAAAGTATCAACCACAAAGTTAGCTGTTCTGAAAATGTGGTTCCACTTGATGCTACTAAATTTGGCGGCCAGCCACCTGATATCTTTATTGATATGAACAAGATTCGAGGGGATCAAGCATAGACCTTGAACTGTAGACCTGGTATTCGTGTCGTTTTCATGTCATACCCGACACGAATAATAATACAACAACATGTTAAGTAAAATTTATCCTGGTAATGATAATAAGGAACTCTCATAATAAAAATAAATAATGACTAAAACTTTTTTTTTTAACTTATATAGAATAATAATACAAAACTATATATTTAATATAGAATATATTGTATATATTAATATGGCTATTGTATTTTATAATAAATCTTTTAGTAATTAAACTTTAAAATTATCAAAATAATTTTTTTCTTAACAGGTCGAAACGGGTTACTCACATGTTACCCGCGTGTATACCCGTAAAGAACCCATTAATAACGGGTTCATAATGGGTCATCCGATAATGACCCGATTAGTTATCGTGTTGACCTGAAATCTGTTATTTTCGTGTCGTGTCAGAAACTGCCGAATCTATTGAAATGCATGAATGACAAGCTTAGAGTCGCCTTCCACCATAATATTTGAAATTTCTTTCCTTAGAGCAAACAAAAGCCCCTCTCTTAAACCCCTCGCTTCCACTTCCGAGATACTAGCCCCATGAAAGTTAACAGCACCACCACCAATAAGATGTCCAATGTCATTTCGGATAGCAAAACCAGTTGTTGCTTTGTCCAGAGCTACCAAAAAACCATCAAAATTTAATTTGACGTAGCCATGATCAGAGGATGTCACTTAATTATCGTGGAGTTATCACAAGTACTTTTATTTACACTTCTTAGCATTGGATTTAAGATACATATCACCAGTAGAGATAGCCAATAAAGTCGCACGGGTCGGAAATGGGCTGATATTCCGGATTTGCCAGCAAATTAAGATAACCCCGCTAAGGTCACTAAGCTTCTCTCCATCAGAGTGATTAGATGCAAATATTGGAAATTATGTAACTTAAATTAAGGGAACTCAGCAACCCGGGTAGGATTAGCTACCACTGACACAACTCGACATAATATCGAGGCATGCTCATCATGTGAGGGTGACGTAGCCATGTGCACAGTGCGAAAGCAATAATGATATAAGAAATGCGAATAAATAAAAACCAACTGACTAAAACACTAGATGAGATAAGGTGAAAGTGCAATATTAAAAGTGACTACACATAACCAGAGTGTAGGTAACCTAAGTGTAGTCCAGCAGGACGAATACTAATTATACAATACCAAAGATGGTCTTACATTTGTGATAATCTGTTAGAGCTACCGTGAATTCCTCGTGAGCCACCAACAAGCACTCTTAACTAGAACCTAGAGGGGCGCAAAATAGAAAGTGTGAGTGGGCAAAAATAAAGCTTTTCAAAACCATTTCACTATCAAAGTAGTAAACCCTCGCCGTAAAAGCTGTATATAATTCCCAGAAAATATCATATACGAGTATATCTCAAAATCATATTCAAAATAGCAAGTCCACCAAGTATACCATGTCAAATCTCAGAAAGAAATAAGTAAGTCAAGTGCAATAAATCAATATAAAATAGTATGCCAGCCGGAGTCACCTAAAGTGACCTGTACGGCTGGGCCCACAACTCATTAATCAAATTCTGCACACGAGTCGGAACCACCTAATGTGGTATGTACGACAGGCTAGGTGTAAATAAATACGCTCAAGTGCTACGGTCAAGTGAAGGCTGTGCGAAGTATCACAAATCACCTACGAGTCGGAACCACCTAAAGTGGTCTGTACGACAGGCTGGCACCTGCCTTGGATCCAAGGTGAGCGTGTGGTGCGGGAGGTGAACGATCACGTGAAGGTTAGGCCCTGTCCTCGGGCGAAGCACTAACACCGGGGTGCAGGATAATAAGCTCGAAGTACATCTCAGCACTAATATATTCACAACCATCAATATACTCACTTGCTTACCTGAGCGTCCACAGCGTCGAGCAACAATATATATAACCATACTAATGCAAAATCAAACATAGAGAGCATTTGACATGACATTTCAAAGTATCAAACCATTTAATTAAGTTTTTTGGGAAAAAATACCAAGTGTATATATATACTGAAAACCAAAAGCCCACTCACTGATATGTGGAAGGGTCGTAACCCCCGAACCTTGCTTGACTGCGCTCGTCCTCAGGACAGGTCTCACCTATATGCGAAACAACTAATTAAACGTTATTTTTAAGCACATAATCAAAACTAGGTAATAACTTCTCTTACATTGCTTAATTGGGGTGTTTGAATATACCAACGTGACCTACTCAACCTTAGGAACATTCCCATATTTTAGAAAAATTTTCCGATCACTCACGCGCCGTCACGCGACGGCCAAGGCATGACCAGACGCGCGGCCCACACGCAAGCACGTGCCTGGCACATTGACGGATTCCTTAACGGCATTATGGAATATTCCGTTAAATATTAGAATATGCAGTTAAATATACCTGACACCGTTAGAATATTTTGTCAAAGTTGACAGAATATTTGCCTTCTTCTCCGGCGAGTCACTTGATTCCCTCGCCGTCACCGTCTATGTCACCGAAAACTGGAAAAACTTCAAACCTTAATATCTCTTTCATTTCTCAACCAAATTTAATGAAATTTGTACCAAATTGAAGCTTAGGATGAGAGGAACAAAACCTTACCACTTTTAGGTCCTAAAACTCACGGGATCTCGCCGGAAAAATTACGACAATCCGGCCACCTCTGCAACTCACTAAACCCCGAGAGTTCTTACATCAAAACTACTCCAAAATTGATCCAACGTGCTAGAAAAGCAAGAATAATACCTTCTTAGGTCTCAAAACAACCTAAAACCTTCGCGATCACGTCGGAGAAAATTCACCCTTCACCAGAGCTCGGTTAACTTAAGTTCTACAAGTCCTCACGTCTAGCCAAGGGTATGCTTCGACTCTTGAGCTTGCAAGGAGTCCAAAAACCACCTAATCTAACTCAATCCGCGACTGGTGAAGCTCGTTGAGAGATTGACTGTACAATTGTACGGAAAAGGAAAGAAAATCCGAGAGGGAATGAGAGAGAGAGAGAGAGTCATTGGATGTATGTGTGTGTTGAAATGTGTGGTCCAGATTTGGGCAGCCAAACCAAAAACAAAGAAAACCTAAGTTCTAATTGGATCCAATTACTTAGGAAGAAAATAAATTGGTCCAAATCCTTAGCGCATTTACACACACCACCACCAAACACTCAAGGGCAAAGTAGTAATTTTCATGCTCTCGAGGACAAAATAATATAAACATTCGGGACGGGTTGTGACAACCACCCTATCAAGCCTTTCAAAGATTACTGTATTATCTAGATGGCCATTAATCCAAGTAAACGGAACACCAGAAGACCCTCAAGGAAACAAGGCTCCCAAGAATAAGAAAATTGATGAAGTTACTCATGTCCGTAGTGGTAAACTGACTACCACTAGCCCGGCAGTTGCTGACACGACACGGTGACACGACACGAAAATAACGGATTTCGAGTTAACATGATAACTAAGCGGGTCATTATCAGGTGACCCGTTAAGAACCCTTTAATAATGAGTTCTTAACGGGTATACACGTGGCTAACCCGTTTTGACCCGTTAAGAAAAAAATTATTTTGATAATTTTGAAGTTTAATTACCAAAAAATTTATTATAAAATTCAATAGCCATATTAATATATACAATATATTCTATATTAAATATATAGTTTTGTATTATTATTCTATATAAGTTAAAAAAAAAAGTTTTAGTCATTATTTATTTTTATTATGAGAATTCCTTATTATCATTATTAGGATAAATTTTACTTAACATGTTGTCCAAAATTAAAATAAACTAGTATAGTATTTGTATAGGCAAGAACTAAGAAGACATACATACAAGTATGAAAAATGTGAAAGAATATATAAACACTTGTGATTCATCATTATTCTTCCATGAGTAGATAATGGATACACTTACATTATCGTTTAGATTTTTAAAATCCTCCAAACCCTCATGTTTTATATTTGAGGGCAAAATTAATAAAATTAATAATAATTATTGTAGAAGTGTAAAAAATGTAAAAAATAAATATACAATCACTCATAGTGACAAGCATTACAACTTTCATGAAGGGGTCAGCTTCGAAATCCAACACTATAATCCATAAACCTTAAATTTATATTTACTCATCGATTGTCATTTATGCTCTATTCTTTTTACTGAATTTCATTTTTAAAATTTTCTTTTTTGAAAACATAATCATCTGGCGGATGTAAGAAGATGAACGGTTCAGATTTTTGATATCACGTTTCGATATTTACAGTTCACTGAAATATGAGTCAATGTCATATAGTTTGTAGAAACTTTATAAATATCAAACAATATTTTCACTAACCGTAAAACTCTGAATATAATATTAACAATTCAAACCGTTCATCTTCCTGCATCCTCTAATAGATCATGTTTTCAAAAAAGAAAATCTGAAGAAAAAAACAAAATTTGATGAGAACAATGAAGCGTAAATGTAAACAACAATCAACGATTAAATTTTGATCTATGATTTATGTGATTATAATGGCAAATTTCGAAGTTAAGCTCTTCATGAAAGTTGTAAAGCTTGTCATTACGAGCGTTTATATATTTTTTTCTATATTTTTTACACTTCTAAATTAATTAAAAAACTATTAAAGACTTTACTTAATTAATTAAGCTATTAATTAATTTATACCCATTTTGTTTTAGAAGCAATGGATGCTAGAGATTCAGATTCAGTAAACCTTAGTGATGAGGAGCCCGTGGAGATTATAATGGGAACAAAATGAGATCTTGGAAGCGAAAGTATAGACAATACAAATACGAGTCTTGCAAAGAAAAAAGCTAGAGCAATCAATTTAGGTAAGCAAAAATATACTTAAAAGAAAAATGCGTTTTTATGTTTTGAATGTGACAATATGGTATGTATATACTTATTTAGTATTATGTTTTTCATTTGATTATTTATTGGTTTAAAATATATTTTCCTTAATGAGTAACGGGTCGGGTCGTTTTACCTGTTTATTTTAACGGGTGTTACACGACACGACCTGTTAAGATATCGGGTATGACACGAAAACGACACGAACACGAAAAACACGACACGAATGCCAGATCTAACTACCACCAGCCTTCTCAAAGAGGTTAACAATATTATTAAAATCTCATATTAGGCACCAGGGTTTATTCATTGGATTCAAACTAAGTATCTCTTCCCAAGAGAAGGTTGCATATGTTGTGGAAAAGCACAAATAAAGGTAACTACTTGTTCACGATTATTGGTTAAATTTTTAATCACACATTGAATAAATTTAGTAGAAGATATAATATTAATAGCAACAATAGTATCATTCCAGCATAAGCAAAGACCCCCAGTTCATCCCACAGAATCACAGCAAAATACATTGTCAAAATGATTAACATAAAAGTTCTTAAGGACCTTATCAAGGGACACCTTAACTTCAAGCAAGCAAAAAAAGTCCAACTTAACTAAACTCCATAGAAAATTAAAATTACTACTAAAGTATTTCCTCCTAATACCCCTACAATTCCACGATAGACACCTCATAAATCCAGTTCTTTGAGATAGCTAGTTCCTTCCTGAGTTGCCAACTCCTCTCAGATTTTCTTCCTTGGGCTCAGCATTCCAACAGTGGCTCTAGGAGTAAGCCAAGACCCCTCAGCAGCCAAACTTGCATTCACAGCATCCCTAGAAGACTCACCCATGTTCTCAGCAACCCTACTTCCTCCAACAGACCCTCTATCCTGATTTTGAACAAAAACACACATAACAGCTCACTAAGTAATTAACATAACTAGCCAAGCTAAACGTATACAAAATTAAAAAAAAAAAAGAAAAAGAAAAAAAAAGACAATAGAAGCACTCCATAAAAAAAATACCTATGCAATGAAATTGAACATACACCAAACAATTAACGAACCCAGGGGGAACAAAGGCCCCCATAAATTCCACCCTAAATAAATTCTAACTATCTTGCCTTCGATGCACAATAAAGCAATTGTAGTTATCAATAAGACTTACCTTTTGCATATTCTCAGCATTCTTTGCAGTCCTCCTCCAATCTTTAACTAAATCTGGGCGTAGCACCCATTTGTTCTTAGCCACCTTCCTTACTTCCTTACCAACATCTCTATGAATTTTAATCTTCTCATCTTCCTATGATTCAACCCCAGTCATTTGTCCAACTACCTCCATCTCAACATTATCTTCCTCATGATTCACCACAGATGGAAAACAAAACACAACATCTTTTTGCAATTCATCCTTCACATCGTCATCAACCTTAAAATCTTCAGGAAAGATTAGTGGTTCATCGTCAAACACCCTGTCAATCAAGAAACATCCACCATTCACCTCTAGCTCAGAACACACATGTCCCTCCATTCTTCTTCGACCACAGTAGAAACAAACTCAAATAACTTTCATAGCTAATCAGGATAGGATGATCCTTATCCTGATTAACAATCATCACCCTCTTTAAGGGGAACCGTAAATCAACCTCCACCAGCACTTTCACAAAGACCTTATTTAGTCTCAGCGTAACCTCATCCACATGTAAAACGTTTCCTAGAGGCTATGTAATCACCCTTGATAAGATTCTCCTCCTTAAATCTAGGAAGCCTCACCCAAACCATTAATTTATTATTTGAATCCAGATCACCGAACTCCATAGTCCAATCATTCAGATAGAATATTTGGCCAAAAACATACCTGGGCTGATTACCCATGGCATACTTTTTATCGGCATCATCATTCATAAATTCAACCGTAAACCACTTCCGCCTAAAGTGGTCCAGGTAGAATGTATTCTTGACTTCATACTTCTAGAGGAGGCCAAGCGTCCACTTAATTAGCCTTGGTTCCGAAGGTTGTCCAAACATCTTGCCCATAGGCACCCTACTTTGCATATTCTCAACATTTAGAGTAGAAGAAAGGGTGTACGTACTCACCCTGGCGAGATAAGGAAAATAACTGTTAGGGACTGTTGGTCTATTCTCTCTCCTAGATTAGATCACAGCCACACATCTAACAAGTAATCAAAACATAAGAAATTCACATGGCTCTCATGGCCTTTACAAATCAAAACTTTACACTTGGCATTCTAAGCATATGTGGATACACCATTTAAATTATAAAACTCATTCTATCAGCTTATAACTTATAATTCAACACTTCCCTTTTATTTTTGAGCTGATTCCACACCAATCATGTCTTTGAGATAGTTGAACTGATCCTTGGTTAGGGCTTTAGTGAAGATGTCTGCAACTGGATCATTTGTTAGACAGTACACTAGGTCAATAACCCCTTCTTATAGTGCATCCTTGATGAAATGATACCTTCTATCAATGTGCTTGGTTTTCTGATGGAACATCGGATTATTGGTGATTGCAATTGCATCTATATTGTCACAGTGCACTGGAGTTGCTTTAGTTTGTAATTCACCAAAGTCTTCAAGGAAAAACCTGAGCCAAATAGCTTGAGCAACACAATTTTGTTTCACTGAAGCCCATGAAAACACCCCACTACCAAAAGAAAAAGCATATCCAGAAGTGCTTTTGCTGTCATCAACCGATCCTCCCCAACTACTATCACAAAACCCAATTAGCATTGCATTCTTTCCCTTTACATACTCCAAGCCATAATCCAGGGTGCCTTTAATGTATCTTAGCACTCTTTTAGTAGTACCAAAATGCTTATTTGTGGGACTGTGCATGAACTTAGCAAGGAGACTGGCAGCATACATTATATCTGGTCGAGTGGCAGTAAGATATAGCAAGCTTCCCATAATTCTTCTATATTGTTCCTCACTTGCTGATCCACTACCATCATCTTTACACAACTTATCTGATGGGACGAGGTGTGAATACATATTTGCACTCACTTAGGCCAAATTTATTCAACAGATAAGCAACATTCTATCTTTGGTGAATAAAAGTACTAGAGTGAGTTTGAATAATTCCCATGCCAAGAAAATGATGGAGAAGACCCAAATCAGTCATTTCATACTTGACCATCATATCCTCCTTGAATTCTTTCAACAGATCATTGCTATTCCCTGTATACACTATGTCATCCATATAAATTGAAACAATCAGAATTTCATCTCCCCTTGCTTTGGTGTAGAGGGTAGCCTCACTTAGACTCTTCATAAAACCACATTGTGCAAGATAAGTGTCAATCTCCCTATACTAGGCTCTAGGTGCTTGTTTGAGACCATAGAGAGCTTTATGAAGTTTATACACCTTGTCTTCCTTTCATGTGATCACAAATCCATCAGGTTGTTCTACATATACCTCTTCTTCCAGAACACCATTCAGAAAGGCAGATTTGACATCAAGCTGATAGAGTGTCCAACTCTTTTGTGTAGCTAAAGCAATAAGAGTTCTTATTGTATCCAACCTAGCAATAGGGGCAAAAGTCTGATTGTAGTCTATTCCTGGTTTTTAGGCATATCCCTTCGCAGCAAACCTTGCCTTGTTCTTTTGCACAGTTCCATCAAGATTGAGTTTGGTCTTAAACACCCATTTAATTCCAATTATAGGCTTGTTTGATGGTCTGCCTACCAGTTCCCAGGTTGCATTTTTTTCAATCATGGAGAGCTCATCCTTCATGGCTTTCATCCAAGACTTATCCTCAGTAGCATCTTCATACTTCTGAGGTTCTATAATACATAAGTTGCATTAAGCAAGTACATCATCCAAGTTTCTCCATTTCAATGGAGTATGATAAAAAACTTGAAAATCTTTCACACCTTCACATGATCTGCTAGAAGACTCACTTGACTATACTTGTGGAGTAATCTGAACGTCATCAGTACCACTTGGAGTTTCTCTCAAACTACCAGGTGACAAGGTATTTGAGACTTGAGTCTCATCTTCTGTGAACTCACTTCTTGGTATTTCAATAGACTATCATTCATAGTTGGGCATAGTTACATGTTTCTCTGTGCTTCCTTGCCAGTCCAAACTTGAATCTTCATCAAACACAACATCTCTCGACAATATTATCCTTTTAGAGAGTGGATAAAAAACTATGTACCCTTTCTTACACTTTGCATAACCAACAAAAACTCCCTTCAGACTCTTAGCTTCTAGTTTGTGCCTTAGCTCAGATGGAGTGTGGATATAGCAAACTGAGCCAAAAACCTTCAAATGAGCAATTCCCGGTTTCCTTCCACTGTAGGCTTCAAAGGAGGTTATGTTGTTAAGAGACTTAGTAGGACATCGATTCAGAATAAAAACTGCAGTATGCACAGCTTCTACCCACATATAGTAAGGCATCCCTTTATCATGTAGCATAGACTTGGCCATTTCAACCACATTTCTATATTTCCTCTCCACCACTCCATTTTGTTGTGGAATGTATGCAAGAGAAAGTTGCCTTTGAATGCCTTCTGTATCACAAAACTGATTGAATTCAGTAGATATGAACTCCCTTCCTCTGTCACTCCTCAGACATTTCACCTTTAAACCAGTTTGCAACTCAGTCATTGCTTTGAACTTCTTGAAGCAAGAGAAAGCATCAGATTTATATCTAAGGAAGTATACCCAAATAATTCTTGTTGCATCATCCACAAGCAGCATAATATACTTGTTTCCTCCAGTGGATTCATTTCTCATTGGCCCACATAAATCAACATGAACTAATTCGAGTGGAGCACCTGCTCTTTGTGCTTGACCACTAGGAAAGCTTTCTCTGTGTTGTTTACCATATTGACAACCTTCACAGACTTTATCATACTCTTCTAGATATGGTAGACCATGAACCATGTCTTTATCCTTCATCTGTTTAATTCCACCAAAGCTTAAGTGGCCTAATCTTCTGTGCCAAGTCTAAGTACAGTGAGCAAAACTAGTCTTCAACACAAGTTGGTTCTCGGGCCTAAGAGATAGAGGATAGCACTTGTTTCCTTTCATTTTCACACTGATAATTTGACATTCCAGAGAAGGACCATAAAAAACAGTACACATACTTCCACCAAACACAAGATAATATTTGTGCTCATCCATTTGTCCCACACTTAGTAGATTATCCTTTAAACCAGGTAAGTACATGACTTCTCTGATGTATTTCCTCCCTCTATTAGTTTCAATTGCCAGTGATCTCATTCTGCCACATTCACTAACACTTTTGTTGGCATTTGAACTTTCCCTGCAACATTGGTCTTCACATCAACAAGAAGATCAACATTCCCTGTCATATGGTTGCTGTATCCACTGTCAATATACCATTCCCCATTAATTTTTGATTCAGCAACAGCACAATTTGCATAGAATAAGTTTCCAGTCACTTCCATTTGATTTGCATATTTTGCTTTATGAACAGCTTTTCCAACAGTACATTCTTTGCCCCAGTGCCCAAATCTATCACAGTTATATCATTTAGATTTCCCCTTATGCTTACATTCACCATAATGAAATTTGGAGCACACCTTGCACTGAGGTTTTGTACCATCTTGACTCATGATTTGAGCAGAAGTAACATTCTGTGCAGCATTAACAAATGGCTTTTGTTGAAACTTGAGTTTTGAGTCCTACTTCTTGCCCTTCTGATTATAATTTCTCTGTGACTTAAATGTACTAGATTGAGCATACCCTCGATTCTGTCCTTTTGGATTAATAGTAAGAGAAGAAAATGCTCTCTCAGTTGCATCAGAGGAGTGCAAATCAAACCTCTGCTCTTGACTCCTATTTAATATAGCTAGTACCTCTTACAACTCAACAGATTCCAAACATTTGGTGTTTTCTATCACTAAACATATAGGATCATACATCTTAGTGAGACTAATTAACACCTTCTAAACTAATTTAAACGAGTAAGATACCCAGACAAGGATTCATCATCACGCATTCTAGTGTATTCAAATTCTCGTCTATGATTTTGGAGTTTCACAAACCTTACCTGATCCCCACCATGATATTCACTATATAATAGATCCCACGCCACTTTTGCTGAGTCTGCGTTTGCGATTCGAGGGAAGATCTGATCGGAGACTACGCTTTGAATGATGCCGAGGGCTTTTGCATCTTTCATGAAGATTGCAGCCATTTTCTCATCATCGTCACCATGAGCGTCTGTATCTTCATCAGGAGTCGTAATCCCTTTCTCCACCAGATTCCATAGTCCATGTGACTTGAAAATGGTGACCATTTTGATTTTCCAAAACTCGTAGTTCTCACCGGAGAAAATCTGAGTCCTCACTTCAGCAGTCCCATATCCAGCCATCGCGAGCTTGTGTGAACCCAGAAAACTCAACACTGTTGATGTTTGAATTGACTGTGCACGCCCAGTTCTAATCGCAACCCGACTCCGAGGCCATGTTAGATTGAATCAAACTGTGATTATTCTTATGTTGAATAGACTTGAAGAAGATGATAAAATTGGAAAAAAGTTTCTTCTCACTTTCTACAAGTTGTAGAGGTGCTCTCTTAGATTTCTAATATATCCAATCTTCTCTCTCACACAAGTCGTGAGATAATGAAAATAACTGTTAGAGACT